GGGGGGGGGGGGTGTGGGTGGAAATATTTGACAGTTTTTGACAAGGGGGGGGGGGAGGAGGTTTAGATTAGATGACGTCAACAATCTTGTTTTTTCCTTTAAAATTTTAATCTTAAAAATTGACTGGTTCTTACATTATTTTAAACAATTTAATGAGTGTAAATAGTCATATATGTTTAGGCTTTTAACACTATGAGAGATATTTAATGTGTGTCTATCTGTGTGCACTCCAGATGCCTGGTCAGAATGTTAGAACACTTTGCTAGTGCAAGAGAAGTCAAAAGTTGGCATCTCTTCACCTGTCATTTTTCTCTTAATCCACTCCCTAAAATGATTAACACATCGTTGTACACGTTGTTCAATTTAAAAAACAACTCTACCAACTCATCGGTGTTCAATAACAACAACACCAACTCATCGGTGTTCAATAACAACTCTACCAACTTATTGGTGTCCAATAACAACAACACCAACTCATCGGTGTTAAATAACAACACCAACTCATCGGTGTTCAATTTAAAAAACAACTCTACCAACTCATCGGTGTTCAATAACAACAACACCAACTCATCGGTGTTCAATAACAACTCTACAAACTCATCGGTGTTCAATAACAACTCTACCAACTCATCGGTGTTCAATAACAACTCTACCAACTCATCGGTGTTCAATAACAACAACACCAACTCACCGGTGTTCAATAACAACTCTACCAACTCATCGGTGTTCACAAACAACTCTACCAACTCAAAGAAAGAGAGAGAGCTTATGGCAGTTATTGGTCACACAGACAATGCTTCGATTTTAAGAGCTGAATGGTTAGATTTGGATGATGTTGACTTGTCTGGTGTATCAGTTCCACATGATGAAAATGATAAACAGCTACTGTAGACTATGCCCATCAGGGGTGTCATTTTAGGTTTTTATTAGGGGAAGAAAAAAAGAAGGGGGGGGGCAAAACCAAAGCTTGTCTGGCTTGTTAACTTGTTTATTAGTGGAGGCAACACAGTGCATAGAAATTTAAATAAAACCAGCAAAATGCCCCCCTGCTCAACCCAAATGATGTCCCTGATGCCTACTCCTTGTGAAGAGCATAGCAGCTAGAAACTATACTATATTTGTCAGCTATACTGACAATAATCATATTTATACTTCCACAAACAATTATATTTAGTGTTAAACAAACTTTTAATCGATTCTGCATTAACACTGCCGTGTGATGACACTGTAACACTAGCGTGTGATGTCACTGTAACACTACTGTGTGATGACACTGTAACACTACCGTGTGATGACACTGTAACACTACCCAAGAACTAAAACTAAGACCATCGGTGAACGCTCCTTCTGCTTCCATGGGCCCACGTTCTGGAACCAGCTCCCCTTCCATATACGTCATAGTGAAACCTCGTCCATTTTCAAAAAGTCCCTTAAAATTCATCTGTTTAGGTCCGCCTATGACCTCTGATGCACCCTCCTTGCCCTACCTCATTTTCTGTTTCGGGTTGATCCTGAAGTGTCAAAGTGCCCTCGTTTTATAGCCATTTTCATTGTTTCTATAGTATAGTAGTTACTATCCTAGTATCTCATTTTTATTTACTTAGTTCACATTTTAATAATTGTAAAGCGCTTAGAGCTTTATGATAAGCGCTATATAAAAATGCCTAAATAAATAAATGACACTGTAACACTACCATATGACGGAGTTGATAGTATAACACCTGTCAAGACCTTGATCTTTTCAAGCTCTCTACACAATGCTTCAACGGATGGTTCTCGCTGCAAAAAAAAAAGTATATCAGGATTATATATATATTAAAAATATTTCCTTAGATTCCAAACAAGTATTGTCAAGAAATAATCATATCCTGTGATCAAATTTATTTTGTCATTTTTATGTATAAGGGTTGGTGTTATACGCTATTAGTGTTGTAGAACCTTCAACTTTAATGCAGTTGTGATGTAAACCTGGTCTTATACATGCACCTTTCAGTCTACAGCCATTATGTGTCGGCGGCACAAATTTCTGAGTTTTTTCAATAGATCATTCCTGAATTGTTATACCACGGAACCTGACAGTGTTACGATTCTATGCGGGCCCTCGTTAATGAGATCAGCAACTGACAGCCATTGTGATCCAAAAATGCCGCGTTCTCCTGTCCGTTCCAAGGAATGGCGGTAACATAACTCAGGACTGGTTTTAACAATAACATTATGTTCGGTCTAAGAGATATCTTAAAGATTTACGATACAAAAATGAGAGAGAGAGAGAGAGAGATTGAGAGAGAAGGAGATTGAGATAGAAATCTTTGAATTAATAACGACGAAGATAGAGTGTGTTTGTTTTAGATACAAATAGAGAGAAGGAGAGATGGAGATAGATACATACGAAGACCAAGAGACGCGAAAACAGAGAAAGAGGGAGTGGGGGGGGGGTGTTCTTTACAATTAGAACGTCAACTGTTCCATGAAAGCCAATTTGACGTCAAGGCTTGTAACATTGTTAGTGATGCTACAATTCTTCCTTTCCCCACCCTACCCCATTTCATTTTTTGTATCGTAAATCTTTAAGATATCTCTTAGACCGAACATAATGTTATTGTTAAAACCAGTGGACGATCAAGAGATGTCATCAAAGTTCGACACATGTGTTTGAAATGTATGTGCTACAATTTATGACCCCCCCCACCCCTTACCCCACAACCAATCATGTACTCTTAACAACAAAAACTAACTTTACCTTACTAATTATGAAGAGTGTCGGCCTGCGATAACGTTACTGGTACGTTACATGCAAGCAGTGGACCTGATAGAATTTATGTGGAAAAGAAATTAATTACAAGATTTGGTCCGCAGACAACATACGCTTTAAACCTCTATTCTGTCATCTGCCTTTACCCAGCCGTCTGCCTCTATGCTGCCATATAACTCTATGCCGTCATCTAAGATGTGTCCATTGTTATTATGTATCCTTTTTATATTCAAGGAAGAAGTCCTTCGACTGCACGGCCGATGCTATAAGGCTGTCCTAAATATTTCCTTCATTAACAGCATAATGTTCATGATCCCCTTAAATATCAAAAACAAGAATTAACGAAATTTCAAAAAACAAATGAAATCAAGACGTATTCGCACATATCTATTTATACCAGTTCTTTGTACACTAAACAAATTGCTCATTAGAAATGACAGGACATTTTCAGTTTACGCCAATTAAAAATTTCAAACGCTATTTGTATAACTCGAGAACCTTCATAACTCCAAAGGGGCCACCGACCTACTTCGCAATCCCCGAACGGAAATACTTAGGGAGGGAAAAAAAGGGGGGGGGGTGGAACACATGCATAAAAACAGTGACCCGGAAGCCCATCGTTGAACTCTGACCTGGAGGCGAGACTTAGCATAGCAAAACAAGAAAGATAATCCAAGTGTAGGGAACCCAACTTGAACATGCCCCCAATATGAGGTTGTCTCACTCTCCTGCCGTAACACCACTGATAATCTAATCTTTAATCGCGAATTAATTTTTGGGTCAGGATTACATTTTAGCAAATTGAAATTAACGTTCGATCTAATTTTTAATCTATCACCGATTCGCTTACAGTTACAGTCATATTTCATCGCTATATGGTCAAATGTTCGTTTCAGCTTATAGGGACAAGTAGTTGAAGTTTTGTTTTGAAGATTATTCAAAATTAACTTTCGGGGTTCTCTGAAGTAAAATGAAGTGCGTATCATTGGAGGTGACCGACATTTTTATTCAAACCTTAGTTTGGGGACTTGTTTTTCTTTCATCAACGAATTATATTTTCAAACAAATGAAAGCCTAATTAAGCCATATGCATGTCACTGACATTGATGATCGTCAATTATTTTAAAATACTGACATTTATATAATCATCAATTTTATTTTAAAAACTGATATCTAGAACCATCAATCTTATCTTTTTAAAAAAACCACTGACATTTATAATCATCAATTATATTGTTAAATACTGACATTTAGAGACAGCAATTTACGTTTTTAATATACTGACATTTAGAATGATCAACTTTATGTTCAAAAACACTGACATTTAGAATGATCAACTTTATGTTCAAAAACACTGACATTTAGAATGATCAACTTTATGTTCAAAAACACTGACATTTAGAATGATCAACTTTATGTTCAAAAACACTGACATTTAGAATGATCAACTTTATGTTCAAAAACACTGACATTTTGAATCATCAATTATTTCTTTTTTAAACACTGGCATTTATTATATCAATTTAATTTTTAAAAAAACACTAACATTAATAATCATAAATTGTATTTATTTTTTAAACACTGACATTTATAATCATAAAAATTTAATGTTAAAAAAAAACACGGACACTTAGAATCATCCATTATATTAAAGCTTTGCCTCGTGAGTTGTTGTTGTGTTTATTTGGCCCAGCGGCGGACAGCTCTGAACCCATCGTGCAGTAAACTCCCATGGAACTGCAACGCTGTTTAGACGTAATAAATTCTTTGTAACGGGGGCGATGTGTCAGGCTACAAGTGAGATGAGATGTCAAACGTGTTGATAGAAAACAACGAAATACTGCCAGTGAGCTAAGCAGAAATGGAACTTTCCACACACACACACAATAAGACAACGCCCGCGGATCATCGCTGAGTCTGTCAAGATTCCTGAAAACGTGGACGGACTCAGAAATGACCAGATGGAACTTGTTGAATGTATGTATGTCTCATTGTCAATTCATCAGAATCCGCATTTGATAATGAAGGGTTGAATACATAATAGGCGTATGTCGCCTATGAATAACTCTCTAAACAACTGCAGATGGCGCTGATGAGGATACAAAGGCACGTTCAACTTTTGATGGTTTGATGGGGTACTTCCAATGTTCGTAGATTTTGAGTATTTTTTCTTTGTTTATTTTTTTAAAATGTCCTTATATTTTTATCAACATTTCCAAGCGCATTCTTAAATGTTCCGCCGTTGAGCCGAAAGTTGTATTGGCTCTCCCTGTGAATTAGTCTTAAATATTGGCTCTCCCTGTGAATTAGTCTTAAATATTGGCTCTCCCTGTGAATTAGTCTTAAATATTGGCTCTCCCTGTGAATTAGTCTTAAATATTGGCTCTCCCTGTGAATTAGTCTTAAATATTGGCTCTCCCTGTGAATTAGTCTTAAATATTGGCTCTCCCTGTGAATTAGTCTTAAATATTGGCTCTCCCTGTGAATTAGTCTTAAATATTGGCTCTCCCTGTGAATTAGTCTTAAATATTGGCTCTCCCTGTGAATTAGTCTTAAATATTGGCTCTCCCTGTGAATTAGTCTTAAATATTGGCTCTCCCTGTGAATTAGTCTTAAATATTGGCTCTCCCTGTGAATTAGTCTTAAATATTGGCTCTCCCTGTGAATTAGTCTTAAATATTGGCTCTCCCTGTGAATTAGTCTTAAATATTGGCTCTCCCTGTGAATTAGTCTNTTTTTTTTTTTTTTTTTTTTTTTTGGAGTGGTGCAACTTTTTGTAAAAATTAAAAAAAAAAAAAAAAAAAAAAAAAAAAAAAGAATGGAAAAATAAAAAAAAAAAAAAAAAGTTATGGATATTTTTAAGCACACCAAGTCGATCGGGGTTCGCTTCACAGCATATTACATTTAACTACAGCCAACTGTTAACTTTAGGCGCCCACTTCTAATTCGACCAGAAGGCGTGTGGAAAAAATAATTCCAGAATTAAAATCCATACAATGATATCTCCTCACTAATATTTCTACCAATAGCACATGAGAACTGATTCCAAAATTAAAATCCATGTAAATCACATCTCCTCTCGAATACTTCTACCAATAGCACGTGAGAACTGATTCCAAAAGTCGTCCATCATTTCATCGGACGCGTCATCTCTTGGCGGGAATTCAATGTAGTTATTTTGTTTCAAGGCGGTGAGCAGATCATGTGATAAATCCCTGTTATCGGTTGGTTCGCACATGCACAGGAAGAGCACGGAACGGTGCATAAAGATTTCTTCCATCAGCGCCATCTTGACGCCATACTCGGAATATTCACCTTGGTAAAACTCCGGTGTTACCATGGCAACAGTCCTGGCACTGTTCTGCACGCCGCTGACGATGTTGGACACGTTGTAGGTACCCGGTAAAAAGTCTCTCTCCTCAATGCACAGACGGTGACCTCTTTTCTCTTCTAGCTCACGAACACAGTCGCGTACGACAAATCTCCTGGTGTCGTCTGAGTAAATGATGTAAGCATCGAATTTGTACCCGATCTTGACAGCACCGGGTCTGGAGCCAACAAGTTTCACCAAAGCTATGCTCCGTAAATATCGCAGTTTCCATCGGTATCGATACATCAGGGAAGCGAGCAACAAAATACCGAAAATGATAAAAGAAAAAACGCAGGTGAGAATTATGACAGTTTTTGAAGCACATTGACGCTGTAAAGTTTCCACACGTTGGGCGAGATCTCCAATTTCCAACACTTGGTCGTACTCATTCCTACACACGAGAAAATCCTGATTCAAAAGAAATACATTGGTCAAGGTCATCCATTTCATCAGCTCAAGTCCTTCGCACGTGCACGGTAATGGGTTAGAGGTCAAATCAAGATAAACGCGATGGTCGGTTGCTATGGAATCCAGGTCGTCTCTAGACTGCTTACTTATCGATGTTATTGAGTTCGTACTAAAGTCAAGAACTCTTATTTCAGTCATATGCGCAAAACTGATGTTTATCATCTGAAGTTTGTTTTTGGAAATGTCTAGTATTTGAAGTTCGGCCAGACTTTTTAAGTAATCATTGGCCAGTTCTGTGATGAAATTACTCGACATGTCAAGGGCAATAAGTCGCTTCGTGTTTGCGAAAAACAAACTGTCCGTATCGTATTGAAAAGCAGCTCCCAATAAATTGTTAGAAAATGAGAGGTACTTTAATGAGCTGTTCTGTGGAAAGAACAAAATGTTAAAATAATCCGCGTAGTTGCCGCTAAAATCTGCTATTTCAAGACCAGGCATTAAACTCAGAGAAGCCCAAGTCTTAAAATCCCCACCAGCAAGACTTAACTCCCTCAGTGAGTAGTTGGCTATTACGTCATAGAAATCCCACATGGTCTTTCCAAACATTCTAAAATTATCTCCTCTTAAAATTTGTAATTTAGGAGGGAGATAATCTTTTGAAACTTCGATGGTCTCTGTATTACAATTTTTCATTTTGTGTTTGAGATTTTGAAGTTTAAAGGATTTTCCCGATTCTTTAAATGTAGAAATTAAGGTCAAATTTGAGGAACGTGCATTTCTATCCCTGTTCAAGAACTTCGCCGTGTCACATGAAATAATTCCGTCATCATCATGGCATGGATAATAAACATTGTACTGGTTGTTTAGATTTAATTCGACGAGTTCAATCGGGAATTTATCAAAACTGTAAAATATTGTATAGGACAAGCCGTTCCCACTTAAATCAATCTTCTTTAACGATGCTGGTAACATTGCTAGGAAATCTGGACTCAGGTAGGCAAGGTAGTTCTGAGACAGGTCAAGCTCAACCAGCTTTAACATTGTTAAGTACTCGGCATCTCTGGCTCTGAGTTCTTTGCAACCGCACCATCGGTGATTGATGTGACGCAGAGTTAAATGGGTCAAAGAAGAATTCAGCAGATATTGAACGTCGCTCAAAACCTGACATAAATTGGCGTATGAAAATAATGTGGGTGAATACGTCAAGTTAACCAAGTTTTTAAGTTTTGTGTACGCCTTGGGCTCTATGTACGGGCTGATTGTTGACAGGTGTAGCGTCGTTACGAAAGGGACGTTATCAAAATAGGATTCGTCAGTAGAGTTATCGGCTTCTGGAAATGTTATTATCAAATGTCTCAAGTGTATAAGGCTCTTAATTTCCTTTCCTAAACCACGTCCATCTGCGCCATCGATTTTAAGAAGATTTAGATTCGTCAGCACCTGTAAGGCTTTATTAGGGTATGCTCCACACTTGTATGTTCCAATTTGGCAGATGTCATCAATGTAGATTTGTTCTAGATTTTTCAAAGGGCTGAAAATACCAACGGGCAATAGGTCATGCCCCTTGTAGATTATTCGGTTCCTGCTAATGTCAAGGGTGACCAGTGTTCCCAGGTCATCAAATGTGTCGTTGGCAATAAAGTTGATAATGTTATATGAAACGGACAGTGAGCGCAAATTATAGAGTCCGGTGAACATCTGTCTCGTTAAATTTAATATTTTGTTATGGCTAAGCGACAGCTCTTGCAGATTGGGAAAAAGCACAAAACTGTTTTCCTCAACTGTTGATATTAAGTTCCACGAAAGATCCAATTCGATGATTGCGGAAGAAACATTTACGATATCACTTCTAAGGACTGAGGCTAGACTGTTAGTCGAGATTTTGACGTACCTCAGAGAAGAATACATCAACAAACTCCTGCTGTCCAACACATCAATACCGGAACATGTTACACCTGTTATGATTGCGTCTATTTCCACCGGCCAAGTTTGAGGGACATGACCTGCAAACATGACGTCATCACAAAAGACGTGAACAAAATTTAAACTGATATTTTTGCAGACGCACGGCTGGCATTTAAAAGCATTCTCCGGATGGAACTGTTCACTGATGTCATCATAGCGCAGGTCGCTATTGAACACATTCGTCGTTTTCTGGCTATCTGCAAAATTGGTACGAAACTTCCTGAAGTTTTCGGAGACTCTGATGTTTCTGGTGTTAGCTTTCGTGAGCTCGTCCCGGCGCAGTCGCTGCTTGTGTCCATCGGGTGATGTGGAGGTGCCGTCTGCCCAGGAGGCAGGGTTCCTTGGTGCGGCACATTGCATGGTGATTACGAGGCACACGAAGGCAAGGATCATCGAACTAGGAGTTATTGGTGGCATTCTGGAGAGAAAACAAAACATAGACACTTGAATGTGTCTTTAAAAAGGCCAGTAACCCTTATTTTGAAAACTATTATTTAGTCAGTGAGTTACAGGGTTTGTCATTTAATGGCTGAAATCTATTAATAGAACACCCGGGCATATGGTCTGGAAAATCTCATTTAAGATTTTAATAAAACATCCTAGTATTCCGTTTTCATCGTCTTTATTTATAATGTCAACGTTTTAATTGGCTGTATTTATAATGTCAACGTTTTCATTGTCTGTATTTATATTGTCAACGTTTTCATTGTCTGTATTTATATTGTCAACGTTTTCATTGTCTGTATTTATAATGTCAACGTTTTCATTGTCTGTATTTATATTGTCAACGTTTTCATTGTCTGTATTTATATTGTCAACGCTTTCATTGTCTGTATTTATAATGTCAACGTTTTCATTGTCTGTATTTATATTGTCAACGTTTTCATTGTCTGTATTTGTATTGTCAACGTTTTCATTGGCTGTATTTATATTGTCAACGTTTTAATTGTCTGTATTTATATTGTCAACGTTTTCATTGGCTGCATTTATATTGTCAACGTTTTAATTGGCTGTATTTATATTGTCAACGTTTTAATTGGCTGTATTTATATTGTCAACGTTTTCATTGTCTGTATTTATATTGTCAACGTTTTTATTGTCTGTATTTATATTGTCAACGTTTCGATTGTCTGTATTTATATTGTCAACATTTTCATTGTCTGTATTTATATGTTCAACGTTTCCATTGTCTGTATTTATATTGTTAACATTTGTATCTTCTGTATTATAAAAGAGTGTGCTTGAAATCGACCCGTATCATGCATTCACCAAAATAATCCGTTTTTGATGTACCAATAAAGGTTTGAACTTGCATTGTGGCGTTCATTGAGTGAACCTAATTGAATTTGATTTCAATGCTAACACGTTTATTTTTTGCTAAATGATAGCAATTGATTTTTGTGTTTAAGTTACTCAAATTCTCTTGCGTTATTTTATCCTTTGGAAATATAAACTACCTACAGAGAGAGATGATCAAGAAAATCAACGGTGACGTCAGAATAATCTGCCACTTGCCAGGTTGGCGTATAATAAACCATTTTTAAGAAATGACGTGAAGAAGCGTCAAAGATTTATTTCAGCGATAAAAATGTATTTTTTATTTAACCTTATAAAATAATTATAAACAAAGAAATTATTTATTTGCCTGCAACACGTCGTAAATAATCCCGTAGACTTAGGAGGCCATTAAAGATAATGGTTTAAGAATGACATAACGCACTCTTTTCATAATAATAATAATAACAATAATTAGTTGTCTTTTATAGCGCTGTACCCCAGCCTAGGGCTGGGCTCACCGCGTTGTACATACAAATATGATCAAAAGAGACATAATCATGACATTGAAATCAAATACAATTATGAAATGAAGTGAAGAATGAACCCCAGGACTTTTACAAGGCAAACCATGGACGGCTGCCAACAAGATCATTTATCGATCAGAGGAGGGGAATCAGTCAGGGTAGTATAGTTTAAAGTGATGTGTTTTGAGTGCGGTTTTGAAGGCCCGGGTGGTTTGTACATTGCTGATGATCCATTTTTCTAAGAGCCTTAATTGTACCATTCTCTTGCCAATAGACTAGATTAGTGGTTCTCAACCTTCCTGATGTCGCGACCCTTTAAAACAGTTGCTCATGTTGTGGTGACCCAAACCCATAAACTTATTTTCGTTGCTACTTTATGAGTGTGTGTTGTACGACGGTCTAAGGTGACCCCGTGTAAGGGTCGGACGAAACCCCAAAGTTGTCGCCTCCCACAGCTTCAGAGCCGCTGGGCTAGATGGAAAGTGTTCATCAACATTTATACGATAACAAATATTTCTATTTACAGAAAAATAAATGGTTTGAAATTAATATTACTTACGTTATTTAAGCTTATGGATTATCAGCATTATTTTATTCTAATTTTATTTGAATATTAAGAGGTGTATATCTATTTTTATATTAGACGTTGGAAATAGAGCAACACATGATATATGAAAAGCACGCCTTGTCGTTGGTTGTAATCGACACACACAGAAAGCTCACCCACAGGAGACGTAAGTTGCGTCCTGTTTACAACGCTGTGTGTCAAGGCTGTATCCTGTACAGACGTGGAGACACTTCCTTAAGCCGGGTTAGGGTCACCAAATGATGAACTGGAAAAAACGGAACAGGCCCAACAAGGGATGTTTTGGGGGAGGTGGATAACCTCAAGCTAAAGAGGGGTCAAGGGGCCTCTGCCGGAAAATGTTCGTTGAAATATGCCAAGTTTCAATATTTTGAGACCGAGGAATCTTTCAAAATTTACCTTCATCACTTTTGTCATTTAATTTAAAGGCTGAGGCTTATAATAAACGAAAACAAAAATTGTTGCAGTGAATTTATTTACAAATAGTTTACAACATAATAAAACATAACAAATTAAATTTCTCTAGTCAAGCATTTGAATTTAGGATATTTAGCTGTTGTCCCAGCCATTGTTTAACCCCATTCTTATCTAATAGAAAGTTGTAAAGACTAGAACAGTCCATTTCGAAACTGTAGAGAGCCCGCAGGACTGCTGAAAGGGTCTCCACTCTCATCTTATTTCTTACGTCCGTCCATTGAATGTTCCTGAGCGAAAAGATTCTTTCAGTTTGATCGTTATGGGCAGCGATCGCAGCGTTGGCAGAGTGGTGAATGGGGAAGAGTGCAGCCAACATGTGAGCCCACATCACTACTCAGATGGCAATGGCTACACAGCTAGCCCAAAATATTACTTGAAGTTATATTATATATTATGAAGATTTAGGGATTTGAAAATGTGTTTGGTTTTAGAAACGGGACATGTAGGCGTCCCGAGAGACTTTTTCGGGACAACGGGTATGATCGGGAAAAAGCGGGACTATCCCGTATTTACGGGACGTTTGGTCACCCTAGGCTAGGTTCTTGTGTGCAGCTGTAAAAAAAAAATGAATGATCATCCAAAAAACCACATTGTACATGTATCATCTGAGTTGATCATAACCACACAGTAATGAGAATAACCAAGGCTGTTTTCAATATTGTTGCACTGATAATTTAACATGTATCATCTCAGGTGATCGTTTCCATATAAAGTAATCACAATAACCACCCTTGTATCAAACAATATTCCACAGCTGTATTTCTCCCAACTGAACTCTAGAAGAGAAATAATGATCCCGCTCCTCGCCAAAAGAAAGGATCATTTACATCCAGCCTTCTGCACAGTAACGGATGCTGAATTCTTTTTAAAAGAATTTTAGAGCCACTTTGCATTTATAGGCTTCTGACTTTTGCTTCTGAAACCTACTGACCTTTTGTATTTGTAACCTACTGACCTTTTGTATTTGTAACCTACTGACCTTTTGTATTTGTAACCTACTGACCTTTTGTATTTGTAACCTACTGACCTTTTGTATTTGTAACCTACTGACCTTTTGTATTTGTAACCTACTGACCTTTTGTATTTGTAACCTACTGACCTTTTGTATTTGTAACCTACTGACCTTTTGTATTTGTAACCTACTGACCTTTTGTATTTGTAACCTACTGATCTTTTGTATTTGTAACCTACTGACCTTTTGTATTTGTAACCTACTGACCTTTTGTATTTGTAACCTACTGACCTTTTGTATTTGTAACCTACTGACCTTTTGTATTTGTAACCTACTGACCTTTTGTATTTGTAGCCTTCGGTCTTTTGTATTTATAACCTTCTTACTTTTGTATTTATAGACTACTTACTTTAGTATTTAAAGCCTACTAGCTTTTGCATCTATAACCTACTGACTTTCGTACCTATAGCCCGATGACTTTTGTGTTTACAGCCTTTTGACTTTTCTCTCCACAGCCCACTGACTTTCTTATGCAGGCGCTTCTACTTTCAATTTATTCCCTAGATAATGTGAAATGCATAACGTCAATTATGAACCAAACTTCAAATTTTTACAAATCTGCCTCTTGGCTAATAGGATATGCTAACTTTATAGAAACTAGAAGATATGGCCTGGTGTTACAAGGGTATTAAAGAAAAAAGAGGGGTTGCGTATAAATCCTTTAAAAAAATGTAATATTGAGCAAGGGGGGATGAAAATTTGTCAAAACATGCATACAAGTGACGCACTTTATAAGAATATAAAATAGTGCCCCCCCCCACCGCCACCTTCAGGCTTGCTACTGCACCTCTTATTCACGCCCCTGAAAGATATTTATATTATATTACAACGCAGATTTTTTTCACTCACTAACAAAAGGGAATTTAACTTAAAGGATTAGTTTATATTGATTCCTGGGTTTCTCTCATTAGACATCCTGTTTGTCTTTTTGTTTATATTTCTCTCATTGGACATCCTGTTTGTCTTTATGCTTACATTTCTCTCAATGGGAATCCTGTTTGTCTTTTTGCATATGTTTCTCTCATTCGACATCCTGTCTGGTTTTTTGCATATGTTTCTCTCACTGGAAAACCTGTCTGGTTTTTTGCATATGTTTGTATCGATGGACATCCTGTTTGGGTTTTTTGCATATGTTTGTATCATTGGACATCCTGTTTGGGTTTTTTGCATATGTTTGTATCATTGGACATCCTGTTGTTATTGTTTGCATATGTTTGTATCATTGGACATCATGTTTGGTTTTTTGCATTTGTTTCTTTCATTGGACATCCTGTTTGGAATTTTTGCACATGTTTCTATCGTTAGACATCATGTTTGTTTTTTTGCATATTTTTTTTTCTCATTGGACATCCTGTTTAGTTTTTTTGCATCCTATTATGTCTACGTTCCTCAACAAAACTGCCCTACTTTTCAATTGCTAATGAACTTCATACGTGGCCATTTCTAATCCTAATTTAATACGTTTTATGTGAATGCAGAAGCAGTTCCCAGTCGGCACAAATATCACTAGCGCACCTTCCCCCCCTCCCCCCAGAAGCAGTTCCCAGTCGGCACAAATATCACTAGCGCACCTTCCCCCCCTCCCCCCAGAAGCAGTTCCCAG